TTCTTGTTTTTTGTTTTGTCCTAAGTATTGGATGCATCTTTAGTTACCCTTTCCTAAGGCTTTTGTATTTTAGCTCATAGGGTCACTTGATACAATCATCCAACCTCAGAGCTGCAGCAGCAATAGCAATGGCCATCTTGAATAAATGTAAGTCAATAATTTTCTTTAATACTAACCATGATTTTCTATAAGTATTTGTTCTACCTGAAAAGAGGGGGGATCTAGCAATTCCTCAAGAGTGGGGAATTCTAAATAAATTGCTGCTGCTTAGCAATGGAGAATCCTTTTTTGAAAAATTTAAAAAGATGTTCTAATGGGGAAAGCTCTGATAATTAATTGCATTAAAATACTAAAGTGTAAGAAGGCTGTTGGCCAAACCCTGCCTAATTCCATCCCAGGCCATCTTGAAATAATTATTGGTGGGGTGTCATGTAACTTAGGAAAGAATTGGTCATCTGCCACCTTCTTCCTTCTATTGTACCATATAAATTCAGTGTATATTGGTAGCTGTGTTTCCCTTCTGAGCTGTATGTTTGTCCCAGTTGTCTGGGAATTTCCTATTACAATCCAGCTCTCCTGTGAAGGGTACTGGCCTGTTAAAAATAACCACTAGTTAGCATTTTGCATCTTCAAGACACTTTACACTCAGTAATCCTATTATTTGTGCAGCTGTTTGGGAGGTACACAAGTATTATCCCCACTCTGCAGTTGGCAAAACCGCCTGGCTGTTGTTGCACTCCACGTGCCTGCACGCTGTCCCTTCCTCCCGCCTGCTGCAGCCATTTCCCCGCTCCTACCCTGCCCGCCCACCAGCCCAGCTTCAGCGCCAGGGATGGCAGGAGCAGCTGGCGGCACCTGGGCTTGCAGGAACATTGGCGGGGGCTCTGCGTGCTGAGAGGGGGCAGGCTGTGGGCAAACCTCCACCCAAGCCCAGCTCCCCTACCTCCCTCCTGGTGCAGCGCAGCCCTGGCAGCTTGGCCCCACACTCCTGCCTGGCTGTTGCTGTGCTCCATGTGTCCGCTCGCTGCCCTGGGACCTGTGCTAGCTCTAGGAGTGTTTGGCTATGGTGCGGATCCTTCACTGCTGCTTGTGAGTTGCCCAGCGCAGCAGCAGTGGCCATGTGGAGCAGCCCTGCTGGGCAGCTCAAAAGTGAAAGTGAAGGATCTGCATTACAGCCAAATGCTCCCGACTGCTGCACCGAACACTGTCCAGTGGCGGGGGGGGGCGTCTGCTTTCCTCCGCCGCAAGTAGCAGCTTGTGCTTGGACCTGGCGCAGGACCCAGGCTGAGCAGCTGCAGCATCAGACAAACTGGTGCTCAGCACCAGAGAAAAGCGCCGCCTCCCCCTCCCGCCACCAGTACTCCATGATACAGCTGCTTGCAGGCCACGCATGGCTGCCTGTTCCTGCTCTGTGCTGGCAGCGGTGACACAGTGGGGACACAGGACAGCCCTGGGTGGCTGCACCAGGAAGCACTGGTGAGAGGGAGGGGCTGTTTTTTTTCCCGCGCTGAGCACCAGTTTGTTCCATGCCCCTGCTGCTCAGCCCAGATGGGCAAGTACAGGGTCCCGGCCAGCAAGGGCTCTATGGAGCTAGGCCAGCTCCCCTCTCTCCCTGCTGGCACAGCCTAGCCCGACTCCAGAGGCCCCTGCCAGCCCACACCCTGGCTGGCCTGCTCTGGGCCCTGCTGACGCTGACCCCAGAACACTGTAGGCCCTGCACACCCACTTGCTTCTACTCCTGCCCCACCTCCACTGTGGCTTTCCCCACTTCTCTGCCTGCCCGCTGCCTGCTTCAGCACCACGTGGCTCCCAGCTGCACAGCCAGACTGTGAGGCTCAGCAGGAGCTGAGCTGGCCCAGCTCTGAGAACTGGGATGATTCTTGCAGTCCTCTCCTGCCTGCCTGCTCTGCTCTTACATGAGTTTCCCACTCCTGCACAGGCAGACATGAATGGTTCCAGGCCAGATGCCTCTGCTAGGCAGGGGCTTCTGACAGGGGGCAGGGCCAGGCAGGCCCTTCTTGTTGCAGGAGCCTGCCGGGGCTTCCCCGGGGTCCTGCTGCCCCTGGCTCCTGTCATCTTTGATAGGAGACGGGCAGATAAATATCTATTTTCTAAAATTTTTTAGGGGCCCGCAGCCAGATAGAATGGCCTGGTGGGCCGGAACCGAATTGCAGGCCGTATTTTGCCCACTTCTGCACTACAATGTACTCTGATGAATGCTTTTTGTGTATGTGCTTATGTTCACATGTATGCACACACACATAGATATATTTTGTTTGTGTGTGGGTGTATGTATAGACATGCATGCACTTGTATAGTGTATGTAGACATGCATATATACATACATATAGTGTGTGTGTGTATTAATATAATATGTGTGTATATGTATGTCTACACACACTATATATGTGTGTATATATGTGTATATGTTTGTTAGGAGCTTTTATATGTATACAATATATTCCTACTGAACAGTCCCCAGCTCCTGTAATCCAGATCTATGTTGAGATGCTGGAGAACACCGAGTATGCCTTGTACCTCAACAGCCATCTCTTGTACAACATAGATGAAGAAATCCAACATCGCCTCAAATGCACAACTGCAGCCTTTGGACGCCTGAAGAAATGGATGATCAAACATCATGACATCAGATGTGAAACCAAGCTTATCAGGCAGTTGTGATCCCTACTATGTTGTACAGAGCTGAGAGATGAACAGTGTACTGGAGACATCTAAATTTGCTGGAGAAGTACTATCAACGCTGCTTCCAGAAGATCCTCCAAATCTAGTGGGACGATAGATGAAACAACCTTGCCATCCTTTTGCAAGCAAGCACTTACTTATGTTAACTTGTGGGAAACTATCACCTAGGACTGCCCCAGACGGAGGAAGAGTCTTCTGCAGGGATCTCAATACTTTGAAACCTCATAACAGCACAGGGGATAGAAAAGCGGGAGTGGCAGAAACAGCATGTCACAGACCAAATCAAGAATCCTGCGCCACCCACCCCACACGGAAACACATGTCCGAGCTGCAGTATAGTCTGTTGATCCTAGATAAGCCTCAACAGCAGGGATCCTGGTTTTCTCTTTTTAAAAATCACATATTCTCTGATTTAAAATATATATAACTTTACGAATTCTCTGATTTAAAACTCCAACATCTGTATTTTTCCACAATTAAAATGAAATGCCACTATATGTGTGTATGTATATATGTATCAGTTGAACACAATATTTTATTGATATATTTACAATTTTAAAGTCATTTGGAAGCCTATCAGTGCCTCAATCACTATAATAAAATAAATTCTAAATACCTACAAATGTTGGCATTTCATTTTGGGTTTTTTGTCATAGAAAATCACAGCTCCCTCTGCCCCCTTCACTCACCAGGACATGGGTCCAGCTGTGGCTGGCCCCGCCCTCTCCCCTGCAACTGCTTTGGGGTGCTGATTAGTCCTGATATGCAAGTACCCTGCCCATGCCTTTGCCCCTCACTCCTGACCCACAGCCTGGCAATACTCCATGCCACTACCTGTGCTGGTGCCAGGCAGGCAGGTGGTGTACGCAGCAGTGGGGAGCCAGCCCCGCCTCCCCCAGATGAGCTGCCCAAGGCCTCATCCCATTCTAGGCCCTAAGCCCCACACCCTGCCCACACTGGGCAGCAGGCCCAGCCCCAGTCTTCCCCAACTCCCTCCCTCATTATGGGGGCCTCAATTCCACCCTCCTCGTCCCCCACACGAGATTTACTTGTGGGGAGCTGCTCTCCAGGCTGTCTGGCAGCCATGTGCATGGCATCCCCTGCCTGATTGTCCTTCTCCTGCTCCCCCCAGCCCGTAGCAGGCTGGAATTCTGCTAGCCTGCAAGGGGAAACCCACCATTTCCCGCATTTTTCTCCTTAAAATGAGAAAATTTGGATGGCAAAACACAGTGAACAGAAAACCCAGACCCTTGCTCATCAGCCAACTTCAGACATACAGATAAGGCAGTCATGGAAGAGGATCATCCTCAGCTGCGAGGGATTGCTAAAGAAGATATCTGTAGATCGATATAGAGAGATCTCCTCACTCTCACTCTCTTATAGTGTGTGTGTGTTTGTGCAGACATGTATGCATATGTATAGTGTTTGTAGACATACATACATACTGTGTGCATGTAGATGTACATGCATACATATATAGTGTGTGTTGCCATAATGCATGCATACATAGTGTGTGAAGCGCAAATAACAACAATACTAATGATAGTAATCAATACTAATAACAGAAGTGTGTGTGTGTGTGTGTGTGTGTGAGAGAGAGAGAGAACATAAGCACACATACACAAATACGAAAGTGTTTTATAGTAGTAAAACACATAGTAGTGTGTTACCTGAATCACATTTATTTGTTATT